GGAGCCGCTATAAAAGGGGCGGCTCCGGCGGGCCGCCGGGCAGCGCGCGAGTAGAGCGCAGCGCCCTGCAGTCGCCCTGATCCCGGCTTGCACGAGCGTCTCAGGGGGCGTCAGCAGCCGTGCATTGGAGGCGGCGGGACCCCGAAATCCCAGACGAGCTGCTTGCTCCCTGGATTGCCCACGCCCGGGAGCTCGCGGCGGCGCCAGTTCGGTGCGCGATCAGATCCTCCGGAGAGCTGTGAGCTCCTGCCCCGCGAAGCGTGGCTCTGCCTGGACCACGGACCGCGAGGTAAGAGGGCCGAGGCGGACGCGCCCAGGGCTGCGCTGACAGCCCGAGGCTCCGAGGGGAGGGACGAGCCGGGTCCCCTGGCTCCACGGTGCACGGGGAAAACACGAACCGTCACCACTTCTCTCTGTCCGTCCAACCTGTCTTGCGCGGCAGATCTCTGAGATACTCTTTCGGGCGGAAGGTTCCGGAGGTGTGTTGGGGTGTGTTGTGTGTGGGGGGCGCGCCGGCGTTCCCAGAGCGCGAACCTTGCTTTCCGTAGACCATCCCCTTCTGGATGGCGCGTAGGGGCGGGAGGGGGAGCTGGCGGCCCGATAGTGTCTGGCCGACGGGGATTTACGCAGCAGAGGGCCAGGTCGCCGAGCCCAGCTGATGGGAGGCCCGTGCACGCCGTGCACTTGTGGGCGTGCGCCTGGCAACAGGTCCGCGCGCCTGCGGCGGCTTCCCGGCACGGCGCGGTCTTCCTTCTGGTTCGCGCCTCCGCCTCCCGTTGCTGCCCGGTGGCTCGCGCATTCCCAAACAGCTCTGGGTACCCAGCGACGCTCTGGCGCCGGGCCGGGCGGAGGCAGTCGGCTTTCGGATGATTCTCCAAGGGCAAAAGCAGGTGTTTCGACCAAGATTCCAAACCTGAAGCGCTGGAAGAGGGTTTTTCTTAAAGGACGTCGGATCCAGAAAGGGTCTCATATAGGCAAAGGCAGGGACCCAGAAGAGCGCAGGTCAGAGTTGTGGCTCCAGCTCTCTCCGCTCCGGAAGCGAAGGACAGTGACATTTTGGAGTGGACTCCACGGGACGTGTGTGCTCCGGAGCGCGATGCGCCAGTGATCCTCAGACTGGATTTTAGGGACGTCTCATAGACAAGGAGAGTCGGCCACGACAGTCGTCCCAGGCGCACCGCCAGCAGCCAGAGTTTGAGGTCCGGAGTCCTCTTTTCGTGCAGCCAACGCATCCCTCAGGTAAGAACTTCATTTAAAATAAATCTTTTGATATGTGCGCCAGGGCCTGGCTGCAGCCCCATCCCGGAGGTGGTTAGCCCAGGAGTGCGTTTCTCCTCCGGTGACTTGGAGAGCGATCCCGGGCGCGCCCCGGGGCGGGGAGCCGGCGGCTCTGCGTGCCCAGGCGCGGCGCCACCATGGACAGCTCCCAGACGCTTCCTTCGTTCCAGGTCTGCCTGTGGCCCTGGGTCTGGGGGAAGTTGGCCGCTTTGCTCTGGGACCACGGAGCTGGGACATAGGAAACGAAGAGGGGGGCTTACTAGTCCGCTGGGGTCCTCGGCCTTTTGTCCCGATGTGGTAGGAAACACTTGGCAAAGTGTTTGGTCTGTGACGGAGATCCTTGATCAGCCTGCCGTTAATCACATCCTTTCTGCTGCTTTCCCCGCCCCGCCTCCCGGGGCCCCCACGAGGTGGGTGGGTGGGACCCCTGAGAGGTATTATGATTGTGCCACCTCTGAGAGTCCAACCAAGGTAGCGAAATAATTCCACATCCAGTGGAGACTGCCTTCTGTTCGGTGCATCTGATCATATATTCTGTTTGATGAAATAATTTAGCGAACATGGTATTGGGAGAATATAGTGACCTCATCGTTAGAGCAGCAGCACGGAGAAGAAATCAAATAGGACAAATTTGTAGAGAAGGTTTGAATGCATTTGTACAAACAGTTGTGCGGTTTTCAGATCCTCATTGCTTTCCCCAAAGTACATAACCAACTTACAGAGCTCCCTCTTAGTGCCTAACAGAGCAGGTTGCCTGGAAACAGGCTGGGAGAAGCTTGAAGAATCCATAGGGCTTAAATCTGTGCACCAAATAAAAATCACCGTCCCTGGAAAGGAATGACATTGGATGAGGCTTTTCATTTCATAATCCCCACCTCTGCCGAAGTGTGCACCTGCCTTTGTTTTAAAACTGCAAGAAATTTGGAGGGTCTGATCCTGTTCATGACTGAGGTGGCCCACTGAGAATTTTTTTTTTACAGCAAAACTCCCACCCTACCTTTCTCCCTTCCTCTCCCCTTGAGACAGCAGGTGTGATTTTGGAAGTCACATAATCTCTAGGATGCTTCCTTATGGAGAAAATGAGAATAACACAGTCTACCTTGTTGCTATGAGAATCAAGTGACACAATGGAAACACTTAGCTCAGTGCTGAGCCCAGAGAATGCTCCTGAAATAGCAGTGAATACAGGTGTATTCTAAAGACACAGTTTTTTTAGTTGTATTCACTAAACTCTCTGTGCACTCTCCTAACCTTGCTTGTGTTTGATATTCCAGCGCCAGCTCCTTCCCACATTTGGGAGCCTGTTGACAGAATTGAAGAAAAAGGTCCCAAGCCTCATTTAAAGAGACATGGAAGGATTCTTGTGTGAGACACATCAGCTGCCGATTTTCCCACCAAACCCATTTGGAGGAAAGATAAAAGTAAGCTATTTAAAAATATATCATCATCATCCTCAATTTTTCCTATTCCTTCTCCTCAGAGGATGTAGGACCTCCGGGGGGGCAGGGTGGGGTGCTTCGTGCCCTTTTGCTGAACTGAGACACTCCAGGGCCTGCATGGGGCCTGGCCTTAATGGCCCTCTGTGTGGTTTCCTCCAGGGTGACATGGCAGTAACTGTGCTGCGACAGACCCGGGCCCGGGGAGCTCTGCAGAGGCCAGGCAGGACCCCCCCTACTCTTCTGTGCTGTGCTGTGCCGAGCTCAGAGACCTTGACCAGGACCCTGTTTGCCAGGAGCCTGGAACGGGTGCTTGGTTTCAGCTGGATTTAAGGGTCTCTTCCTTGTGCTGGATTTAAGGGACTCTTCATTGGTCCTGTGGCATCTGCTGTTGATGGCAGTGTCAGAGTGGAAATTGGGTTTTGTCGGATAGAAACTACTGGTAGGCCGTGTCATGTGTCATGGAAATTGGGATAATGACGTTTCGGGGTGCCTGATTTCTCCGATAAAATTCTTCTCCAGACAATGAGAGGGCAGCGAAGAGAGTACGCAGAAGAGAAAGGAGAGAGAAGCTGCAGGCGTGACGCTTTTTGCTGCTACGCCATCCTGGGGCTCTCAGCTTCTTCTTTTCTCTCCGTAGTCGGCCAGAAAGGATCCTAGCTCTCTCCACCTGCAAGGAGCGGTGAAGGAGGCTGCAGTCTGCGGATGTGGAAGTCCTTTTGCGACTCACATCGACCTCGGGATGAGAATGGAACAAGTGGACACCACCCCTGGCCGACCCCAAAGTCCTGGCTCTTTTCTCTGGACCCCCACGCAGGTTCCAGTTTCCAGCACACGTCTTCCTGGTGAGAACCCTGTCTTGCTTCAGACCAGTGTGGGAGTGCAGGGCCAAAGAGGGGACGAACAGATGGGAGTGGTGTCTAGGGAACCCTTCCTCGGTCCTGGCGCATGGTGCTAGCAATGCAGTGCCTGGGACAGAGGGATCAAATGACAAGAGCAGCACTTAACAGTGATGGGATGAGAAGGGTGAATTCACTTACTCTCGTCAGCCTCCTTTGAAGCCTGCCGCTAAGTGACCTCTCTCAGTCCCTCCTCAGGTGTCTGCAGTCTCTGCACTATCTGATGGGATCTATGCAGTTTGCATTGGCAGCTCAGTCTCGATGGAGAACTGCAGGCATATGGATTGGGTTCCCACAAGGGAACAATGTTTGGCTGCACCCCTATCTAGGAAAAGTCTCAGCCGTCACCTGAATATTTCTTTCTACCTGATGGCAAACCCCTGATGCTTGATTGTATCTGGGTCCTGCGTCAGCTCTCTCCATATTGCTGGGTTTTGACCATCAGGTGGAGCCAGTGCCAGGTTCTTTGATGGTGCATGGGATCGGGTCATATTCTTCCTCTCTCGGGTCTGTTAGGTTGATGGGAGGATGGGAGTGGCAGTGGGCACTGGGGTGGGTGAGGGAGACACTGGACACGGCTCTGCCAAGTTTCTTTCTTCTATCCTGCCAGCTGCTCAGCTAGGCCTGACCTTCTCCTCCCAAGAGCCTGGCACCTGGGAACTTTGCAAAACAGGGGAGGCTCAGGGAGGATTATTGACCCAGCCCAGTCTCTCTGGAGGCCATCCTAGCCTTTCTCCTAGCTCCCCAGCCTTGTCGTGCCCGTCTGCTCTGGTGCCAGACTTCATTCAAACATGGTTCTTCAGAAGAGAGCCTGCTTGCCGAGAGATGTCATTAAATATAGATGTGCTTCCGGCTTCTTTCCCTTCGTGCCAGTGAACCCGGTCTTTGAACCGGTGTGCGCTGACAAAGCAAAATGGAGATGTATCAGAATTTGTGAACTGTGGCTTCCTGGAATGATAACCAGAAGGGGAAAGATTATGGGTGGAAGCCCTGAAGTGGGAGACTCTGAAGAGGCCTGGTGAGCCCTTTCCGGAGCCTCACGCAAGACATTGGCCTATTGCCCAAGCCCTAGAGAGTGACCTATATTCACAGTGGTGCAGTCAGCTGCCATCTTTGAGCAGGGCCCCAATGCTTCAACTCGGTCAGCCAAGAGGCTGGGTTGCTATGCAACGAGCATACTGCCCTTGTTTTTTAAGAAGGAGATTATTTTTTCTAGGCTGATATTGTCCCCCGAACTGGCTATTGTTCTAGGCACCCACATTTTGAAAATTCCCCTTTGCCCTGGCCTTCACTCCATTGGCCACGACTGTGCTGGAAAGAACAGGTTAAAAGCCCTGCAGGAAAGACACATCCCATCTAGCCGGGAGAGATGCTGCCACTCCACCTTCCCTCTGCTGTCCTTTCCCAGGGCCTCCTTTGTAGGCTCAGCGTGGCTCCGGGAATCCCAAGTTCCCCTTCCCACTTCCTGCAGGTGAGTGAGCTTCAACCCCGGTCGGACAGTCGGGCTCTTTGCAATGGAAAACTACTGTGGAGTTCTTGAATCTTCAGCCAAGGCAGCTTTGTGGCACATTTAGTCCACCTTGAGTTTGACATACATGGACCCTATTTCTGTCATTCTCTGAGTTGCCCAAGGGAGAGTTTAGCTCTGAGGCATCCGCTGTTCCAGGGAAGGCACC